AGCAAGAGTAATACAGAGTTGATATGGTAAGGAGGAGAAAGAGTTGAAAGTATGCTGGTAATAGTTTAAAGAAAAACTTCAAAACTGGTAAATCTTTTGCATAAACTGATGTATATTATATGAGAACTGATTGCACACAATAGATATATAGCAAGATTGTTAAAGACTATGTCGTAGAGAATTTTACCCCCTTGAGGAAAATTCCTTGAGCTATATCACATGTTCCATTCAGATACTACTAAATGTCATCATATGAGGGACAAAATATTTTTGATGTCAGTATCATAAATAATATTTCATAGCAAAGCTGTCAGTAAAAAGAAGCATTCAGTGGAATCCCAAATCGGGACTAAGCAGTAAATCCTGTTCCCTGATTTTCCATTTTACTAACCCGCTAGACTCAAATTGGCCTGAATTCTTTTATATAGGCAACATGATACAGCTAGATAAGAATAAGAATACATTTATTCCAAACTAGAATGAAGACATATTAAACAGGTTTTTTTTGTCCTAAATCATTGGAGAATGCAGTTCTCTCTTATCTAAACCTCCCTATAGCAGTTTATTGTTTTGTTTTCCTGTATTTCCCATGTTTCAGTGGATTCTCTGATCCATGCTTTGTGACCTTTCAAAGTAAGCAGTTGTTGGCTATTGACATAACTGATACCTTGGTCTTGAGAAATTTGGATCTTGCCTTCTCATTCATATAATTAGTGCTGAATGCTTGAATGGCTATTTTTTCTGTAAATCAGTGGTAATGATCATAATTATATGATGTAATGCTCCACTTAATGTCTACATTTTTAATTTTGATAAGCGATATGTTAATTGTGTGTATGGACCTAAAAGTATTCAGACGTAACAATTCAAAAACTTCAGATGGTTTTTTAATAGTTAGTAAAATTAATAGGAACTACTTGATATGATCATATTATGTCAGTGTGATCTGGATTGGTTTGCTTTTGAATTCAGTCGATCCATCCATCATCCATTCATCCATCCACCCATCCCCATTGTATAGCCTTATGGGATACACAGTGTAATGCAAAGAGGAGGAAAAGAGTAAACAGCAGTTAGTAAAAGAAATTAATAGTAAAAGGTAAGAGAAAAGACAAAGGAAACACCTCATACTTTTCTTTCTTTACAAACCATTTTCCTTCCATTATAACAGCCTGTCAAACTGGTGGCCTGCGGGGCTGAATATGTCACGTGCAGGCCACACCTACCCCTGCTCTGTAAAGACAAAAAACATCATGATACATTACGATCCAGCCCATGACGCAATCGAGTTTGATACCTGTGCATTATAACCATTAATTTATATGTTGTTTTAAAACTTTTCAATGCTCCTGTTTGAGTATTTTATCATTTCTATTCATCCATGATTTTCTGTCTTTTCCCTTCTCTTGACCTGTCCACTGTTCTTTATACAGGTAGTCCTCAACTTATAACAGTTCATTTAATGACCGTTTGAAGTTAAAATGGCACTGAAAAAAGTGACTTATAACTTTTTCACACGTATGGTCATTGCAGCAGCCCATGGTCACATGATAAAATTTCAGACGTTTAGCAACTGACTCATATTTATAACAATTACAGTGTCCCGGGTTCATGTGATTATCGTTTGCGATCTTCTACATCAGCAAAGTCAATGGGGATGCCCAATTCACTTTACAGCTGTGTTACTAACTTAACAATATTCCATATCTGAATGGAATTTTTCCCATTACATTTGAAGATTGGTAAATGGAAGTTTTTAAATCAAGGTGCTCTTTTCCACTACCTGCATAGCATTTGGTATGTGATCTTCACTTTCATATTCTTACAATTTACACCTACCTATTGAGTTTATCATACAATTGCTCTAATTTAAAAAAATACTGTATACAATACATTTTCTTTATTGTAATCATACATTTCCAGTGTTGTGCTGAAAAAAAAAATTGGCCCAAACCACACCTGTCTGGCATAAAGCAACTCTGCAATTCCCAAATTTTGTTCATTGCCAATTGGTGTACTTTTTCTGTTAGAATTCCATCAAGTACATCCTCAGGGAGATTTAATAAATTTGTAGTTTTAAAAGTTTCCCCTTATATAATGAAATAATAGCATTTTAAAACATAATTAGAACATTTATATCTTTCATTTTGTCTGTGGTTTTCCTTGGACAGTACAATTTACTATATAATGTTTATTTCAATTTCACTCTGACATATCACTAGTATTCTCATATAATTGTCTAACAGATTCTTTCCCACATTTGTTAGTTTTATCCGAAATGTTTTCTTCATGTTTATTCTTAATTCTGTTCACTTTACTAGAGGCTTCTTATTTAGCCTTTTTTCCTACTTCCCAAACAATATTTTATTTCTTTCAAAACCCCTTTCTCTCTCTTTAGGCTTCCTGTTGATGTTGCCCCAAAAGGAACTGGTTCTTTTGGCAGTTGTAGTACACTGCTGGTTCATGCTTAATCTGGTCCACCCAAGTACTTTTTACAAGTACTGCTGATGAGCCAGGAAATGCCTGCCTTGTACTTGTACACCTATTTTTTTTCCTCCCTAAGAACAGAACCCTATATTTCTCAACCTTTATGGGAGAAGATATAATATTTCAAGTATATCAACACCCTTTGGAACTTTGAGCCAGTTAACTGAGGAATTAGCAGTTCTTCCCTGCTTTGTGTTTATTTGTAAATTTGCTGACCATCTCTTTATTCCCTTGTCTGAGTCATAAGTATAAAAGTGTTGAAGAGCTCTGGGCTCACGACAAAACTCTGATGTATCTCACTTCATACTTCACTGTATGCAGACATAGATACGTTAAGCTTCATGAATTAGATATATTTGTGAATGTATCTTATATTGGACATCCATCCCACATAATTCCAATGGTCAACTTACAGCTAAAGTACCACAATAAGTTGTGTGTGATTATTTATAGTTTAGTCCATAATTCATAATGGGAATTCAGCCATTATAATGTAGTTTTATGTTAACCTGGTTACAAGCAACAAACTATGCTTTTAAAAAGGATGGTGTCTGAACATATAGGTTATATAGTAGTGGTCTACAGTGTAGATCATTACATAGTCAGAACCCAAAGCATGAATCCATTCCATTCTGCTATAGGATTTGGATTCTTAAAATGCAAATGTTGCTTGGCAGAGGAGTTTCTTTTTTAAAGCTTATTTTTTTCTCCTCTTCCAGATGTTTTCAGGCAGTTTTGTTGTTGTTTTTAAACTAATTCTATTCATGTTTTAAAAATTTATGAAAGCACTAATAAAAACGTCAAAGTGGTAAAAATGTTAGCTTTTGCTCTGCTTTGATTAAATTTTGCAAACTGTTTTTGAATATTAAAAAGCAATTTTTTTTATTTTCTCTTCCCTCCACAAGTGATTTGAGAGGCCGGATGCTTGGTTATCACTCAATAAGATCATTTGCACTCTAGAGCCCCAGCATCATGTTTCTCTATTAAATAACACAGACAAATTATCCTTTAAAGACACTAAGCAAATTGTCACTCCTCTTACATTAAACTCAGGAGGGGGTGGAGTAGGGAGAAGGAGACAAAGGATTTTATTGTTTTTATTCCTTGGGTGGTTTTTTCCACTCTAATTTCAATTTCATGTGTATATTTTAATAATGGCCAGACCCATCATAACTGGATTTGTTTAAACTTCTTATTAACAAGCCCATATAATTTTTAAAAATATTTTTGATGATTCAACTACTTGAATTTTTGATATTTCTTTTTTTTTGTATCAGGGTAACTATGTTTCAAAATAGTTATGTTCAAAGTAATGTACAGAAAGAATTGTAGGAAGAACATTACACTCATGTTTATTCTGAGTTTCTCTTCAAGTGTTACAGAATGAACACGATATCAGCATATTTTAAGTTTTAAATATGTGCACATATCTCTCCTCTTCGTCTTTCTTAGTACAATGTTTCTGAAATTGTGATCTGAGGATGCCTGTGGTCTCCAAGACCGTTTCAGAGGTCCACAAAATCAAAATTATTTTTCACCCTATGTTGAAAAATAAGAGAATTAAAATCCTATAGAAGAATTCTGAAAACAAGAGTGGCAGTGAATTTGTCAGTTTTAATTTTCAACAAGGTAATCATTACTTACCAGTTGCCTCATTTTGAAGTTTTGATGGTATAAAAAAAGTCACTATTATCCTTACTTTTGCAATCTTTGCAGTGTCCTGTGGAGACATAATTGCAATTTGCGTGCTTCATAATTATCTTGTAAGAAGAGAGTTAATAGAGAAGTAAAATAAGCTGTGGTCACAAGATGTTTCACTTAATGACCATGGCCTTTACTTAAGGATCAAAGGGAAGTAAGTTCGTAAATCTCTTGTGTGATTTTCCACTTAGCAACCAAGCTATTGATTCAAATTGTGGTTTTTAAGTGAAGACTACTTGTATGGTACATATTGATAAATATCATTCATGCAAGCAAAAGTTATTCTGAGGTCATCATACTTTTTAAAAGTGGGAAGGGTTCCTGAGGCAGAAAAGTTTGAATTAGATTGTAAGAGCTGGAGCCTCTTAAATGTTTACAGATTTATGTATTGGATAATGCTAGATCAATTAATAATTACAGTAAGTTTATTTGCTATAGTTAATAAAAATTTAATTTGCATGCTTAATTTTTCTTTTGGTATCCGCATATACTGCAGCAATATTTTGGTAGCTTTGCAAACCAGAGCTCTATGTTATGATGGAAATACATACTTTGGACTGGTGGGTGATTTTGATACCTTCTTAAATTTGTTCATTTTAAAATTGACACTTGCCCATCTTCGTAGGATGAATATTGAATGAGATTGTATAAGAGTTTTATTTTCTTCCTCTCTAGGTCTCTCCAGTCTTCTCTCTTTTATCACTTAAATCTCTTCTGCTGGTGAATTAACATACCATAGTTGAATATAGTATGAGATTCATACCGAGACTAGGTGTTTATTTAAATTAGGCTAATATGTTTTTTTTTTGTAGGAGATAATTGAATTCCCCATCCTGAAGCTGAATGGCAGGACAATGGAGATTGAATCCACTTTCCACATGTATGTGCAGCCAGTGGTGCATCCTCAGCTCACACCTTTCTGCACCGAGGTAAAGCTCTTTTTCTTCTAAGAGTTTAATGTTGCCTTGCAGTTTCTCTAGGAGGATCTGAAATTCTGGTAGTTCTTTTATCTGCTCATAAAAATGATTAAGTTTCTTCATTGTTTTGGTTATAGTAAAAATATATAATTGGGTATCTAGACTCCAGTATATTTTCAGTGGTTTAAACAACTATGATTTTAACAAAGTTGAAACTTAGGAATTAAAAGACTGAACTTGTCTTTGCAAGACTGGAATTATATGTTACATCAAGGGTCTTCAAACTTGGCAAGTTTAAGACTTGTGGACTTCAAGTTTCAGAATTCCTGAGCTAACATGACTGGAGGAGAACTTCTGGGAATTGAAGCCCACAAGTCTTAAAGCTGTCAAGTTTGAAGATCCCTGTGTTACATAGTCAAATTCAACTTCGCATGCCCCATTATCTGCATTCAACATACACTGATCAAAAAAATAAAGGGAACACTTAAACAACACAATGTAACTCCAAGTCAATCACACTTCTGTGAAATCAAACTGTCTACTTAGATAGCAACACTGATTGACAATCAATTTCACATGCTGTTGTGCAAATGGAATAGACAACAGGTGGAAAGCATAGGCAGGTAGCAAGACATCCCCAATAAAGGAGTGGTTCTGCAGGTGGTGACCACAGACCGCTTCTCAGTTCCTATGCTTTTTGGCTGATGGTTTGGTCACTTTTGAATACTGGCGGTGCTTTAACTCTAGTGGTAGCATGAGACAGAGTCTACAACCCACACAAGTGGCTCAGGTAGTGCAGCTCATCCAGGATGGCACATCAATGTGAGCTGTGACAAGAAGGTTTGCTGTGTCTGTCAGCGTAGTGTCCAGAGCATGGAGGCGCTACCAGGAGACAGGCCAGTACACCAGGAGACGTGGAGGAGGCTGTAGGAGGGCAACAATCCAGCATCAGGACCGCTACCTCCGCCTTTGTGCAAGGAGGGACAGGAGGAGCACTGCCAGAGCCCTGCAAAATGACCTCCAGCGGGCCACAAATGTGCATGTGGCTGCTCAAACGATCAGAAACAGACTCCATGAGGGTCGTATGAGGGCCTGATGTCCACAGGTGGGGGTTGTGCTTACAGCCCAACACCGTGCAGGACGTTTGGCATTTGCCAGAGAACAAGATTGGCAAATTCACCACTGGCGCCCTGTGCTCTTCATAGATGAAAGCAGGTTCACACTGAGCACATGTGACAGACCCCTAACCCCTCAGACCCCTTGTGAAACCATATGCTGGGTTCCTCCTAATGCAAGACAATGCTAGACCTCATGTGGGTGGAGTGTGTCAGCAGTTCCTGCAAGACGAAGGCATTGATGCTATGGACTGGCCCGCCCGTTCCCCAGACCTGAATCCAATTGAGCACATCTGGGACATCATGTCTCGCTCCATCCACCAACGCCATGTTGCACCACAGACTGTCCAGGAGTTGGGGGATGCTTTAGTCCAGGTGTGGGAGGAGATCCCTCAGGAGAACATCCGCCACCTCATCAGGAGCATGTCCAGGTGTTGTAGGGAGGTCATACAGGCATGTGGAGGCCACACACACTACTGAGCCTCATTTTGCCTTTTTTTAAGGACATTACATCAAAGTTTTTTTCCACTTTAATTTTGAGTGTAACTCCAAATCCAGACCTCCATGGGTTGCTAAATTTGATTTCCATTGATAATTTTTGTGTGATTTTGTTGTCAGCTAATTCAACTATGTAATGAACAAAGTATTTAATAAGAATATTTCATTCATTCAGATCTAGGATGTCTTATTTTTGTGTTCCCTTTTTTTTTTCGAGCAGTGTATTATTCCATTTTTTTCAGTTAGTTTCCTGATGCTGCTTACATCTGTGAACAAGACAATACTGAAGCGATAGATGTGCCTGTTTTTCATGATCATCTATGAATAATTTGATAAGTGGGGGGAGAAATATCCCATATTCCAAAACCATGTTGTAAAGGAGGGAAGAAAGAATAGAAATTGAGACAACCTGCATTTGTTATGGAAGCTGTAGATGTGAAAAATGGGGCCACCATATCTGGCTTCCCCACTGATTTTCGTTGTCAGAAGATCAAAAAAGGGAATCCCATGACTCCAGGACAGTGCAACAGACATAAATATGAACCAGTTGCCAAGGATCTGAATTTTGATCATGTGACCATGGGGATTCTGGAAAGGTCGTAAATGTGAAAAATGGTGTTGTGGCCTGTCGGCCGCTGGCCCCTCTGGCAACCATATCAGATGAGGCAGTGTGGGAGTCAGGGCCAGTATCAAGGCAATCTGACAGTTGCAAGGGAGAAGAGAGAATGGAGCTGTCAGAGATAGAGACAAAGGCGGAGCCTGGGCCGTCCATCAGCCCTCAGATGGAGAGTCAGGTCTGGAGGTGGCTGATGAGGAAGAGGAGGAACAGCTGGGTCTAGTGCCTGACGTGTGGATATGCAGAAGGCAGAGAAGAGAAAAGCAGCGGGAATCTATGGGCCAGTCCTTGGGATGGGAGAGCCACCGCTGCTAGTGAAGCCCCACCCTAGCTCTAGGGATAAAAGGCAGGGGCAGAGGTGACTAGGTGTGGCAGACAACTATTAGTCTCCTATCGGTCAGCCACTGACCATGCATTTCTGAATCCTGTCTGGAAATTATAATAATTCTTCTTGGAATCTGCAGCACTTTCTGAGCATGCGTGGGTGCGTCTGCTGTTGGAAGAAAGGGAGAACACCTTCCAGGACTTCCTTTGCAAGTGTGAGAAGAGAGAGAGAAAGAGACTCCTCACGTGTTGGGGCTATTTCAGGGGGAAAGGGAATGAGCGTCACTTTCCACAGGATTTAGAGATTTCGTAGCCTGCTGTGAGAGAGCAGCTGCTGGCGCTCCTGATAAAGGGAATGTTTCGTTAAATACAAAGGGCTTGTCGTGTTTGGAAGCCGGGTTAGAGCAAATGGTCATAAGTCAGTTTGAAACTTTGAATGGTCACTAAACAAACAGTTGAAAGTCGAGGACTATCCATATCTGCAATTAGTTTAGTTCCAAAGCAAAACCACAATATTTCGTTTCCTCTTCCTTGTACATATTTTCTTTGTGTTCCTGTAAGATTTTGGCTTCCTGTGTAAATAGATGTTTACAGTAACCTCCCTTTCTCTCCTTGCTCTGCATAGGTTTCTTCAATAGGACTGGTGTTATTAAATGCTAGGAAAAGGTTTTGCCTCTGCCCTTCTACTTACAGAAGTCAGCTTTATAGATCTCTTTGTTTGCATAGAAAGACCAGGTCTGTTTATCTGATGGCATGCCAGAGACAAGTGCTTATTGTTATCAGGAAACTGTCTTGGAATACGAGGGTGTATTAGATAAACACCATTGGAAAATCTATTTTGTTGTTATTGTCTTGGAGATTGCTTGGTTCTCTGTTCTTCTCTATCTTTTCTTTTTCCATTAGGCATAACTGCCATGGCAAATTTACCAATTGTACTCTATTGTCTAACTTTCTTCAATTATTTGAAAAAGTATAGCCTCATCCCTGCAGGATTAAGTACTGTATTTTTCTGGACTGAACTTGAACTAGAAGGTGGATCTAGGTTTTGTAATGGTGCTTCTTTTATCACACATGAGGCTAGAAGTACTATTCCAACAGGGGGAGCAGGAAAGATACTATCTTTTTTCCATAATATATCCATGTATGAAAGAATGTCAAACTTGCTTTCTTAACTGCTGTCAAAGCTAAGTGAAAAGAACCTCTGTCTTTGCATGGAAGGAGAGAAACATAAATGTGAACATATACCATTAATCTTTTATATTTTCAGTGTAGCACAGGCTGAAAGGAATAAAAATTATTGTTTATTTCAAAAACATGTTACACTAGAGTTCGGATGAAATAGTTCCTATCCCCAATCTAATGGATATATTAAACCAGAAAAGAGATCAATCTAAATTAGAAATAAAATGTAAATAAAATATAACATGTATTCTTATCAGTAGCAGCTAATCAAAACCATGCATTATATAATGCTTTCTATGATGTGATGAAATTAACATTGAGCAGAGCAGCCTATTGGTTTGGCCCTCCACAACAGTCACAGTTTCTCACGTGACCCTTGGGAAAATTAATTGCCCTCCCCTTTGTTAGAACAATAAATAGTTCTATATATATAATTATATATTACAAACATTATTCAAGTGCTTATGTGTATGTGTTTCTAATGGACATATGATTAATGGAAGAGAGTATTTGTAGCTCAGGGCTGAACTGGTGGTTCCTTATTACTATCTAAGCTTAATTGTTTTCATGCAGATGTTTCATTACCAGACTAGGTAACATCATCAATACTGGTAAGGAGTAGGTTATAGGAGATGATCACACTGAGCCCAAGGGAGAATCAAATGCATCATAAGTCTTGAGCTAAGTTCAGCCTACCCTCAATTCCCTTGACCCTTATCTACTGTCAATTTGACTTTTAATAGTTCAGATTCTTGTAGAGAACACAGAGCACACAGTAAACCTATATTCATTTGAAATGTCTGGATTCCTGATTTCTTGCACTTAACATTAGGTTTTCTGTCATTTTATATACTAATGGCCTGGTCTGTCAGTGTTGGTGGGCATGGTCTTGGTGGTCCCTCTCCCTCCCTCTCACATATGGAATATCATACATGGACTAACTAGCAATATAAATGAACATTTAAACTAGTTTAGAAACCCAATAAAATATAAATGTTAAAAAAAATCTATATCAAATATCAGTGTCTAGGCCTCTAACCATTGAAGCACAGCATCGTTTATATTTTTAAAAAATCAGATACTGGACTGGTATATACCCTCAATTTACAGCCAGTTACAATGTGATCTACAGTTTGATGTGGCACCATGCAGTCACACTGAGGGATGATACTATAATCCATTTATACAGACTCCTGGGAGACGCTATGTGAGTTACAAATCCTATTCAGGATTTCCATTGCTGATGTGGTAGTTCAAAGTTTGGCACCATTTTTGTGGGGTCATTTATATATCTTCCTGTAACTGGGAATTTAGCGACCCATTTGGCTTTCCATTGTGAATTGATGTTAAAGGTGTTAGGAAGATGCCAATGGGGGCTTTTTGAATACGAGTCTTCTTGCTGAAAAATGAGGAAGATCAGCATGCCCTGGTAGGAGTGAGTTGTTCACAATTTTTCTGTATTCTGTCACTATAGTGCATCTTGCCTGTATAAAACTGGTGGTGCTATATGTCTCAGAACAGGAAGCCAGCAAATACTTCGCATCAATTGGGCTGTTATTTACTTTGAGCTTATTTGCCAGATTTGGTAGTTCCTTGATTGGATCGGTTGGGGTATTGTTTTCTTAAAACAACATTTAAAAAACAGGAAACAGCAAATATAGATTATACAAGGAGAAAGACCAAGACTCCTGACCACCTAAAAAGTGGTGGCAGCAATATTGTCCAGACATGATTGCATGGCAAAATGATATGTTGGAATTGATGCCCCAGAATATTAGTATGACCATATAATAGCATTGAAACTTAAATACCACCTCACAGTGCTTTACAGTTCTCTCTAAGTGGTTTACAGAATCAACATATTGCCCCCAGCAATCTGGGCCCTCATATTGAAAGAGTACTCCAGAGTTAATATGTAAAAAGGTCATGGAATTTCCAAATTCAGACTGATATATACAATGCAATACGTTTGACATCGCAATGGTTGAAGAAAAATAGGCTTTATCTAAAGTTTTGGCAATGCCAAATTATGGCAAAGTGGCTCATAAGAAACTGGAAAATATTGTGAATTATTTAGACTTATATTATGTAAAATACATATATTATGAAATAATGCATCAAAAGTTTACCGTACTTATAGCAGCAGAATTATCAAAATAGTTAAAAAAATAGAATGTTTTGACCTCATAATATTTAGTTTGCAAAAAATAGATATTTATAGTGATATTTTTAGAATTCTTAGATTTTGGAATAAAGCTCAAATTGTCCTTAAATTATCAGCAGTCAGAAACAGTAGTTCTACAACAAAGACATACTGGGAGAGGAACTCAACATATTTTATCAGATGATCTTTGTAGCTCTGGAAAGGAGTATAATAGGCATTTAGCCTAACTCCTAGAATGAAAGAAAATGGATTCTCCCAGTTCAGCATGCAAACAGTTGGTTTGTTTTAAGATTTTTGTGTACAACAAGATGAAAAGAGGTAACTGTAGAAATATAATGGTTCTGGCCAATGATCTAAATGTAAGCTTTAAGTGAAAGAAATTTGCTGATCCATCTGACTTGCAAAGTTCTATTCTCATCAGCCCCAATGATTAATTATGTTCTGTTTGTGTTTAAGAACTGCAGTAAATAAAACGAAAGATGGCATTTATTTACTTTTTTGTATTCTTCCTTCTCTTTGTTGTTTGCTCTTTGATGTTTCCTATAATGTTTTAGCATTAGTATTTAGTATTTTAAAAGAGCAGTGAAAGCAGCAATAGTAATGAAAAAGGGAGTTGGGAGGGATGGAAGTGAGCTATTCTTTTTCTATGGCTATTTAGTTTTCAACTAATATGTGTTTCTTTTGTTTTAGCTGACTGGAATTATTCAGGCCATGGTGGATGGACAGCCTAGTCTCCAGCAAGTGCTTGAGGTAAGCAGAATAACCTTTCGTTCCTGACCCCTGATCTTATTTTTCACTTCCCCCTTCTTCTTCTTGTGTATTGAACCACATAATTTGACTATGATTACAGCTTCATTAGAATAACATTTGCTGTCACATCAGTGACATGCTGTTGTGAATATCGAACCATTGATCTGTCATTTCCAGCTGTTCATGTCAAAGGTGTTTGACTCTTGCCAAAAGCCATGAGGAGGTATATGTAGGGGGAATTCTTTTACTGGAGACTGTCTTCAGTGTTACATTAAGAATACTGCATGGAAGATAATAGATAATATACATGCCAAATATTAAATATTTAGTAATAAACTATATTAGATATCTGAATATGGGATATAATCTTAATAATGCTATTTGCTTTATGTGGCACTCATAGTATTTAAAACTTAATTAGCTGAAAGTATTTTCACAATCAATAGCTTTTGGTGTTTGGTCTCTGTGAATGGAATTTCAAGAGGTGAATCTTACTTGACCGTGGTGTGATGCTTTGCTCCCTTCAGGATTTGGGCCTAATAGTTCTTGATCAAAATAATTGCAACCACAGCTGCGTGAGGAAATCTGATTAAAGGGTGAAGTTGCATTCCCTTGCTTCAGTGATAATATGGAATTGCTTGGTGAAGAAAAAAGAGACAGCTGGGTATCCTGAATGACATTCAGTAGTGAGCCTTCCATGCTACTCCATTGAGATCTGCTTCAACTAATCCTGGGAGAAGGCCTATCTTTTATCTTCTTATTAATGGGGGAACTAACCTTAATAGTTTATTCATAGCCCAAGGGATCTCATTCCTTTATCAGAGCCATGAACAAAACCCAAGAGGACCCTGCCTCCTGTTAATTTAGTTAGACTGATGCTGCAATACAGTTCAATACAGGACAGAGACATGACTTATGTATTTAGGCCAATATGGAATGAATATATTTTTACTGTTATATGATAGGCCAAAACACCACTTTATTATGGTGGCAATTGAAAATTTGAAATGGATGTGAAAGGTTGATGTCTCTTCCAGAATACAGAACAAAAAATTGTACAGGTGGCCCTCGACTTATGATCACAATTGAGCCCAAAACTTCCGTTTCTAAGCAAGACATTTGTTACGGGTGTTTTGTCCCATTTTTTGCCTTTTTCTGCCACAGTTGTTAAGCCAATCACTACAGTTTTTAACTTAATAATGTGATTATTACTGGTAAGTGCATCTGGCTTCCCCATTAACTTTACTTGTCAGATGTCAGAAGATTGCAAAATATGATCACATGATCCCAGAACACTGCAATTGTCATTAATAATATGCAGGGATCCATAATGAATAGAAATTATGTTAATATATGAATATAGAAGGAGCGTCTGACATAGGGTGTTGGTCTGAAGTCCCCCCTTCTGGACCTGGAAGGCAAGACCTTCCCCTTGTCCTTGGAGTCCACCAGAACCTTGTCCAGAGCCTCTCCAAATAACTTGTCCCTCTTAAAGAGGACAGTGGCCAACCTCCGCTTATGTCTAATGTCAGCCTGCCATTGCCTTAGCCAGAGCAGGCGATGAGAGGTAACAGTTCCCCCTATTGCCCTAGATGCAAATCTGGCTGCACCAGATTGTACCAAATCTGGCTGGTGGCATCAGCTGAAAATTCCACTGCTTTTAATAACTTGTTCACATGTTGGTGTGATCTGACATCGTCCAGTGGAATTCTCTCTTGCAGCTCCTGGAGCTAGATAAGAGAGGCCCTGTTAAAGAAGGAGGCCCTTACTCCCCATGCTGCTGACAGGGGTGTTCTCTGCAACGTTTCCGCCTTCAGCGAGTCCTCAGGCTCCCCAGGGATTTCAGTGGTGGCTTACAGGGCCGCAACTGGGGCATCGACATCGGGCACTTCCTGGGCTTTGGCTAGATCTCCTCCCACGCTGAACATCTTCTTATTTGGACCCGACCCAAGGGATGACCACTGCCTTTGGATGACAGTGGTGAACATCTTTGGCACAAGGATGACACCTGCTGTTACTGTTTTTTCTGAAAATAGTGGGTCATTGGGGTCCTCAGAAGGGTCAGTAGTTTAGTACCTCCTGTGGTTCAGGAACCAAGGCTCGCCCTGTGGCTTTTTTCGCCTTGAAGATGGCTTGTTGGAACAGACCTGGTATAGAGACTTGGTCAGCATCATTGAGGCCTTCATCATCAGAGTAGTTTCTGTCCATCAGTTGCCCACTTTCAGATGTGATAGAGTGGGAGCTTTCAGCAGGAACATATGAGCCTGATTCTGAATGCAGGGAAAAATCATCTTTATGATGAGACCTGTGTCTCCTGCTGTGTCTGGATGAAGGGACAGAAGCCTCTGAGGATGATCTCCTAGTCTGTCTCAAGACAGCTGACACCCCTTGTCTTACTGCCTCATTTAACATAGCTTGCATATTAACATGGTACTCAGGCTCCTGCCTCCTGACTGACCTAATTCCATCTGACATGGGGGTGAATGTGGCTTCTGAAGCCCTTCTGTGTCTCTGATCAGAAACTGTCAGTTGCTCTGTTGCTGGGCAGACAGAGAAAAAATTTCTAATCTTTGAAGCCTCGATAGAGTCCTGCTGCTCTTCAGCTCCCCCTGTGGCCACTTCTGTTATTGCACTCCTGTCAGTTTGCAGATGCCTATCTCCTGTTAATAATGGTCGCTCCTGATTTAGGCGGGAAACTAAAATGGACGCCATTTCTTCCGAAATTTGGGCCGCTTCTTTTCCCCGAGCCTACAACTCTTATCTAGAGCCTTGTCTCTTCAGCGCTCCTCCCGCTCAGCTGCCTTGGAGCTCTTTCGAGCCCCTGCAATCTTGTCCTTTGGCTTGGGGCTATAATAGGGAGCTGTTTGGTCTGGGGCTGCTGGGTTTAGAGAGCGTGATGGCCAGCGAGCCGTCTCCTCGCCTCTCATGACATCGCAGCTAGCATTTGACTCCGCCATCTTTAATTCCAAGGTTTTTATTCCGGAGGCTCCACCAGTTGCTCTGCAGCCTTTCCTAACCTTAAGTACTCTAAAGCTACTCTCCCTACCTTACCTGTCACTCTACAAGGAGATTCTTGCCTTCACTGCAGTCTTCTGCCCCTTTAACGCTGCCGCTGTTAAACAGGCGTCTGCAATGGCTGATTAAAGCCACTGAAAGCCTTGCCATGCCAAAGCGCAGGGAAGCAGTGTGGATGGTGTTTCTACACACCTCCCGCGAAAGGTACCTCAGTACGATATAGATCGGCGCGCAGCCAATCCATTGTCTGGCGGCCTGGGCTGAAGCCCCTGACCACACTGTCTGTGACAGCTGTCAAACTGGTAGACCGGTTCCTCTTTGAGATAGTATTCAGGATTGGTGATTTTTTTCTTTGTTTGTCAAAATTCAATTCAATTCAATTTTGGTTGTTTAGGAGAAGAAATTAACACATCGTCCAGCTAGCTGACTGAGTCAATTTCTGGGGAGGTCCCTAATAGCAGAGGGAGTGTCCTCAAAGTTTTGACAGACCCAGTCCAATCAGCAAGCAGAGACTGATCACCCAATCCTGAATGATATCCACCACAATGGAGAATGGCTATACAATTCTGGAGTTATTAATGGAAGGAAACAAAGCTGAGAATAATCAATATAATTTGGACTTCAAGAAAGCAGATTTTAATACACTCAAGAGTATATAGAGTAGGATTCCATGGTAGCATAACCTAATGGGAAAAAGTTGCTCAAGTGGCTCTAAAACACAATCAGAAATATTTTCAAAGAGGAAAAAAATACAGGACAGTAGAAGATAACTACATATAGAACATTTAATGAAAATCTGAAAATATAAATGGATGTATATAAGAGGTGGTAAGTGAAACAGGTCATCTGTGAAAAGGAAATACAGACAGCCCTGATTGGTAATGAGTAGAGATTATCAGAAAGATACTCTTCAGTTGTGCTTAAAATAAAAAGAACTGGAGAGAAACAGCATGCTGATTGTTTAATGGAGATGGACAAAAGATTAGTAGATAATTAAGCTACAACACTTAACTCTTATTTTTGCTTAGTCTTCTTTAAGATAAAAAGGTGTATTATACTAAGCAATTGTGAAGAACTTGTTGAAAGAACAGGATTGCAGCTTTGGCTTGACAGATACATAATGTAAATGCTGTAGGCTACCAAAATGAGAAACAAGATTCAGAGTTACAGATAGTCCAGTATTCATACATGAACAAAATCATCATTGTAATAAAGTAATTGATCTGTACTTTGACAAAATATACATTACTAAAAATCACTATGGAATGTCAAGTACACATTTTTAAAAATTAATCTTACTTTATTAAATTCTTTATATATAATTTCTTTAATTAGTTCCTTATGTTGTGAGAATGCTGTATACAACACAACATATCTTGATCAAAATACCCCATGGCACTGTGATTAGTGAGCAAATACCACTGGATGGCAGTAGTTAGATGAGCTCAAATTGTCTTGAAAGCAATAGTCAAAGAGTGCTCATCAACAGATCGGAATCAAGCATCCAACTGATTTTCCAAAGGCCTCAGCTCCTCTAATGAACAAATTGGTAAAATGGCCTATTAATAAAATAAGAATTGGAAGGGACCTTGCAGATCTTCTAGTCCAAACCCCTGCTCAAGCAGGAGACCTTATACTGTTTCAGACAATGGCTGTCTAGTTTCTTCTTAAAAACCTCCAGTGATGGAGCACCCACAACTTCTGAAGGCAAGCTGTTCCATTGGTTAGAAAACAGTTCCCACTGTCAGGAAATTTCTTCTTTAGTCCTTGATTAGTTTCCATCCATTGTTTCTTGTCTTGCCTTCTGGTGCTTTGGAATACAGGTTGACCCTCTCTTCTTTGTAGCAGCCCCTCAAGTATTGGAACGTTGCTATTATGTTACCCTACTCTTTCTTCTCACTAGACTAGACATACCCAATTCCTGCAACTATTCTTTATATGTTTTAGCCTCCAGGCCCCTAGCCATCTTTGTTGCTGTTTTCTGCACTCTTTCTAGAGTTTCAACATCTTTTTTATAATATGGTGACCAAAACTGGATGCAGTGTTCTAAGTGTGGTCTTATTTGCCTCAAAATTGAATCAAGGGACACCCCCCTCCCTCCAGCCCAGTCAATGTGCTCAGACTATTTTTAAATTATTCACTTTCTTGATTTCCCTTCATTTCTTCATCATCATTGCTTGGTACTCAAGTTGAAGACAAGAACCCATTTCTTTTTTAAGAAGTCCTTAATTCCTACTGTGAATTAATTGATAGGATGGAACAGACTTTTGGTCTACAGATTTTATAAGCTTGTCAAACCTATGCTTGATATACCAGTTATTTCAAGTTATTAGCACTTCACCAATCCTAAAACCAAAATTTTTATAATGTAAAATCTTTATAATGTAAAATAAAAAAGATATTTTTATCTTCATTATAGTGGAGATATCAAAGATTTCTATTATCAACATTTTTTTCATCCTTGAACAAAGAAGGCAGAAAATCAGATAGTCACAGATTCAACTTACTGTATTTTTTGGACTATAAGACGCACCGGACCATAAGATGCACCTAGATTTAGAGGAAGAAAACAAATAGTTTTTTGCCTTCATGTATCCCGTTTTTCCCCTCCCCTGTGTCCAGAAGCACTCTGCAGGCTAAAAACTGGCCCATTTTGGGCCTCTGGAGGCCTCTGTGGGTTCCATTTTTGCCCTCCCTAGCATCGGGGAGCCAAAAACAGGATGCACTGAGGGCTTGGGAGGCCAAAAACAGGCCTGTATTCGTTCTATAAGACTCACAGACATTTCCACCCACTTTTTTGGGGGGGAGGGGAGTGCGTCTTATAGTCAGAAAAACACGGTATACTTTTCAGAAATTCTCTCCATATACAGTACTGTATTACCAACTTTCCAGCAAAATAGTTTCTTTTGTGAGAGAAGATATTTCCATTCCTTCTAATGTGTCAGAGAACAAAAGACAAATAGCCCACGTTTTTCAAATAGAAGCAGTAGGTTTTGCCAAGTAGGAATTAAATATGGTTCGTCATGCAACTGATTTGGCAGCCAAAGTTACAACATGTTCTGTTGCCTTGCATTATCATGCCTAGCTCTGCTGCACTGGAATGACATTAGAGGCCAAATCTAGAATTGAAAATCTTCCATTTGATGAGGATGGATTATTCTGCAGGAAAAAAAGGTTGACAACTGGGACATGGCTAAGATGCTTTGTAAAACCGTGTGCAAATGGGACTGCAGTAAAACTGCTTTGTCCCATCCAGCTGTTGCCCACACGTCTGCTCATATATTAACCAAAGTCTACTCAATCTTTCAAACAGAGTATACCATTTCACACTGGAGGATTCCTGCTGATTATTGGGAGGGCTTAAACACACCATAGTGCATATGTATAAGCAAGCCTAGAGACTCCAAATGATATCTGTGATCTTGAGGTTTGGGATTTTTCTTGCTTGCTTTTAAGATGTGTGGACTTCTGTTACAACCTTAGGGTTCCATCATTTTTCAGTAGTATATGGAATTCATAGTAAACCAGCCCATTGTTTCTAGATTCATACTAAATGCTAGAGAAAACTTTTCAATATCTCCTAAGGCCTCATACCAGCTGTAACCATTAGATTCTCTTTCATTTGCTAGCTATCTTAGCAAAGTCTGGATAAATATTTGTAGGGTTGCTTTCATTTCTATTTCTGCCCTGAGCAAAGGGTTGAACTTCATGGTCAGGGGTGTCAAACTCAATTTCATTGAAGGCTTCATCAGGGTTGTGGTTGACCTCGGGGGTGAGGAGTGGCTGACTGGGTGGGCATGGCCAGCTTGATGCCACTCCCCAAACTGCTGGCATGTTTCCTCTTCACACTGGGTAGACTGGGCTGAAATGATGTGGGTAGACTGGGCCAAAGTAATGCGGACTAACCCCTTACATTTTCCAGGATGGCCCCATGGGCCAGATCTGTCCCACGGGCCTTATGTTTGACATCCCTGGTCTAAATAGTATCATCCAACTCAATGCAATTATAAGAGAATTAACCAACCTGTAAATCTGTAGTTATTGCTTGTACTTTATCATATTTTAGGATGTAAGGATGGTGCTATGCTTCCCCTGAACATATAGAATTAAAGTTTGCATTATTTCTGGATTTGATCTTGAGGATGAGTATCCATATTTTCACGATGCTAAGGAGTTCATTTTCACAATTAAGGCTAGTAATAATTCCATAATAATACCTCCACTGGAAGTATTAAGCAAGGTGTTGAGGTGTGCTTGGAATTCTGAGAAAATATAATGAGGGTTATAACTAAATAAATGGTAGGGAAAGATTATTTATGAAATATTTGCTATGATGGTTATTCAACATAGATATTTGGCATAAAATAAACTGGTAAGGTTCCTCCCCCTACCTCCTCTAGTACCTCAGGATCCTTCCCTAGGTTGTTTTTCTGGGCCAAGTTCAAACAAATCACAAGACTGCAATCAGCCATTATTTTCATTATTTTTATTTTCTAAATGCCCATAGGAATTACATTATGCTCAGACATAAATAAATATGATGCGAGAGATTGGCACATTTATTTTCAGCATGGAGCTTCCTGTTTTATTTTTATTTTTATTATTTCAAATTAAGAACTCCAGAAAACTATTATAGTAATAATTTTGCCTAACTTTGGACTATAAGTTTTGTTAAATTTTATACTTCAGGTTGCCTTTCAAAATGTTTAGAAATGTAGCATATACAACAGTTCATTTAGTGACCGTTCAAAGTTACAACAGCACTGAAAAAAAGGACACATGACAATTTTTTACACTTATAACCGTAGCAGCATCCCCTGTTGTATGTTTCAATATTTGAGTCAGTGACAAATTGCTTGGCAACTGATTCCCATTTATGACGATTGCAGAGTCCCCATCTTTTGTGATCTTCGGACAGGCAACGTCAATGGGGAAGCCAGATTCACTCTATAACCATGTAACTAATTTAACAACAGTGGCAGAAAAAGTCCTAAAATGGAGCAAAATTCACTTAACAAATGTTTCATTTAGCAACAAAAAAAATGGGCTCAATTGTGGTTGTAAGTCAAGGTCTATCTGTGTTGCAAATATACTGTATCTAATATATTTTCAAATCAGACTACTGACTGAGCCTACGAAGCACATGTCCATATTATTAATATAGATGCCCTGGTTACTGGCTTGTCTATAGACAAAGTTCAAGGTCCCATGTATCTTTGGACTTGGTCATAAGAGAAACCTTACTGTTCTTCTCAAACTTAAGAAATCTATCTGGATTCTAAACTCATTGGAGGAACAATTTCTGAAGATGTGAAAATGAACTTTCTTGGGCTGCACTGAGGGAGGTCACATTAATCCTTTTTGCTATCAAAAAAACATGTTTTCAATTAGGTACAACTATGGTGAACAGGTTGCCATCTTCTTTTTTAATATTTTATTAGTAACTTCCAACCGCATTGGTTGGAAACAGTCAGGAAGAGACTTTCATCCTACAGTAGATAGGCAATGGCTAAAATGATGATGATGATTAGTAACTTAGTAGCCACTATGTTATTGTTAGCCACTATGACCATAGTTCATTAGTGATAGAAATACTTAAGGACAAAAATGAATAATAAAGGAAGAATGGTTAGGAAGTATTTATTTGGATTGCTTTGTTGCTGCTGCTGTGTGGCTGATTAAGCCTGCTTATTTAGAATCTGACCATGATTTTATAAATAATTACTCGTTAAGATGTTGAAACAGGGTCAGGGCATGCAGGAAATGGCCAAGCAATATTAATTTTCAAAAGTCATTCTGCAAGCAGAAATGTGATGCCTGACGAAATCACCACTTCAGTGGCTGCTTGATGTCTCCTATTGGAAATCTTCAAAGATCCAAACTTATCTTCATAGAAATGAGAAGGGGAACAGGATGAGATGGAAGTAAGGAGACGGCTGTCCTGGATAAGATCACAATTTTCTTCTCTTGTGATTGTGAGGCTTATCAGTGTTTAACTGATGCATCTCTTTTCCATGTCTCTGAAAGTTCATCTCCTTTCTGTCTGTTTCTTTCAGAGAGTTGATGAATGGATGGCAAAAGAAGGCCTTTTGGATCCCACGGTCAAGTCTATTTTTGTTACCTGTGGAGATTGGGACTTGAAAGTAATGTAAGTATGGACAGAGGTATTCATATTCTGATGATTCTTGCCCCCTGCCAGCTTTTCTTCCTCACTGGAACATCTGTGCATCTGTTAATTTGGGGCTGTGTCTGAATGATATATTATTGAGTAATGCAGCCTCTTGAATGGTCAGTTCTGTGGCATAAAAGTCCCGATTCTTCCACACCCTTCCATTTGAGACATTTCTACTCCAGTCTTTTCTACTTTTGAAAATATCTTCTCTTAATTATTCAGGATGCATGATGTAAGCAAAACCATTTCTTTTGAGGGCCTGATTTTTAATATCAAGAAAACCAAAGGTTTTGGATTAGAGGACTAGAAAGCAACTAATATTACTATTAGGCTATTAAGATCTGAGAAATTATAGGCTGGTTTGCTTAATTTATTTTTTTCAGTAATATGAAATAGACATGGAAAAAGGAAAAAAAAACGGAAAACAAGAGAAGCTTATGTCTTCAAGCAGGATAAATAGCTTTGTGGTCCACAAGAGATGAGATAGAGCAGTTTGAGGAATGTTAATATCCATCTTTGTTTTCTACATGCATTTTCATTTAAATGGCACAAAAATCTTGATTCCAGATTCAGAAAATGCTATGAAAATGGCTCATTTATTCCTTCTTTCATTTATCTTTTTATACAACAGCTTCAGAGGTTGATGATTAGGCTGATTCCTGAGCATTGCTGGTGCCAAGTAGAAAATTCATGATCTTGTGATTCCAGCTTCTCAGAAGTAAGAAATTCAGCTACCTGTTAGTGATCAGCTTGTCACTTTATTTCAGATTGGCTGTAGCAGCTTTAGTGGTATCACATCCGATTAGCTATATGTCAGAGACTATGCCTTGGCTTGAATTAGAGAGAGTTTGTTGCCAATCCTGACTTCTCTCATTTCCCCATTTACTTTTATCCATCACTACAATACTGAGGTTCCCCCTTAACTAATTAAGTTTGCATGTGTTTAGACACATTGCCAAATAAGATTTAGCAAAGCAGAACTGAGCTACATCTCTTTACAAATGGGATTGATGTAGAGCTCGCAGACTGCCTCTGAGATCAAAGAAACATAGAGGATTGGATCTACAGGATACATCACTTATACTTCTCAGTGAACTTTAATTGTGTTTAAAGGTAACCTGCAGAAGAAGCAGCCACTTCACATTTACTACACAAATTATTAAATCCTGTTTCTGAACTATGAGTTAAAATCCAGATTTGAGAGTAGCATAGCTTAGGATGCTCTGGTAAGATAAAGACAAAGACCAGTTATTAAATAAGTTGCAATAGTACTTTGATGTAGATAACATCTATTAAAACACATTTTTCAAATAATTGCAGAGGAATAAAATTGTGTGCTTTTGAAAATACATGTTTTTATAGTATTTTGTTTACTTATTATTAGCATTTGAAACAAATCACAATACGTTTAAGAAGGGAGGGAAATGGTTGTCTGTATTTTCAGCAGTGCCAGTTAAGGCAGGAATGTAGACAACCTGTGGTCATAGTTTCTCTGTAGCCACTGATGTACTTTTTTCAGGTAGTCACTAGAGTCACCAAAAATTGTACAGCTCTTGTTCAATAGGAAAACAATTTATATACACCTTTTGGTTTAATCTTAGCAAAAACATACAAATAAAACACATAGCTACCCTGCTATCATTTGCGGTAATACTGGTGGAAAGATTGTCATGGTGGAAAAGTAACAGTTGGACTTTGCCATGATATAATATTATTTGTTTATTGGGATTTTTTAGCCTCTCTTTATTTTTGATAAGCTCAAGGCAAAATACATACTTAAAGTTCCAGTCTTCAGTTTTCCCCATAACAACTCTTTGAATTGGGTTATGGGGAGAGAGAGTGACTGGTCCATCTGCTTCTCAAGAGAAGATAGACCTCACCTGGTTTCTAGGTAGCACTTTATTCTCTACACCAAACTGGCTCTCTAATAATAACCTCATTATCCAGGGAATAAAATAATTATTTCAAGGTAAAAGATGTGAAAGGTTTGTGCAATATTGATATATACTATACAGAAATAACAAGATAGACAAAATGAATCTCACTGTACCCAATGAAGAGAAAATATATTCTTGTTCTGCTGAGGGAAGAATCTGGAAAGGCAAAATCAAGACTTTGTGCTGGTCTCCAAAACACATCAAGAAGTTGCAGTTCAGTAAATTTAGTTGTCCTGCAGACATATTCTGAACTAGCAGAAACTTGGAAATAGTTTTGAAGGCAGGCCTGGATACAGTTCAGGGCTGCAATCTCCCTGGGAGACCACTAAAGCATGGGTAACCGATGGAAAGCAATTCTGTCCAGGAATAATAAATTTTACTTACTGTTACATTATTTTGAAACACCTTAGAGACATCATTCTTTGTTAGGGGTTGATGGCACTTATAAGTATCGAGGCATTAAAAAGCTCAGGCTTTTTCCAGGTGGTGTCATGAGTTTATCTGAAATTGGAAGTGTATTGCTAGGTGTACAATTACATGTCCCTTCTCACCATGACTATAAAACTGGAATCAATAACGAGGTGCTGATGTTGTATTCACTCTTTGCATTGGTGGATCAACGATTTTGGCTTCCCCTGATCAACATCGATTGGACTGGCAAAGGGGAGACAGCTCTTCCTTTCCTATTCACCAGCCTTCTTTCCTGATTGAGATGCAGTATCTTTAACGAGGAAAAAGTTCCTGAGTGGAACATCACCTTTCTGAAGGCTTGTCCTGATAAAGGCATTTCACATCAATATATCTCATGTCAAATTTGGCAAATATGAGTCACTCATTCTAAAACCTTTCTCTACTAAAGAAAGAAAGAAAGAAGTCCTTGAACAGAAAAGAGAATGAACCATATCTCACAGCTTGAATACTTCATGACAGCAGGTGGATCTAATGAGAGAGGTCCATTCTTTCTGGATATAACATGTCCTCCATTTCCATTGGCAAAGAAATACTCTTAATTAAAGAAAAACTACCCGAAGCTTCAGATAAGAGACACTACAGCTGCCAGGTGGAAATATATGATTTGGGATTCAGTCTTGTTAAACTTATGGAGCCTTAAGCCTAAGAACAAATGGAAAGGGACTTGTTTTGGTGGGAACTATTTGAGAATGGAAAGCTGGTAGGCCATGCTTTAGAGGTTGTATAAGAAGCACATCTTGGAAGCCAATTTAGTAAGGGATTTACAGCAAAGTCGGAAGTTTACTCATTGTTATAAGCAATCAGTTATATATATCCTTTGTAACAAGCGTTGCACCATGCTTCCTTGTAGGGCAAGATGAAAGAATTGCAGCACAAAAACACGGCTCAATGTTACCCCCTTATATTTTGTGACAAATTCTGCCTTTTTCAAACAGAGTGATTGGGAAGAGATAAGTAGCATTGTTTAGTGAAAGGCAGGCATCTTCTGAGAAAAGGATTGGAGTTTTCTTTTCTGATTGTTGCATTTGTTGCATTGTGTTACTTCTGGGAGATTGTCCTAATTGAAGAAAGCCAAACTGTGGTCCAGAAGAATCAGGCCTAAAATAATAGTTTTTACATTGAATTGTATGGAAACTGATACTGATGGCATACCAATGATCATATCTTGTCATAAATCCAAGTATGGATTAGTCTTGCTTCAGGGATTTTATGTGAGTCAGCAGGCAAGGCAGTAGTTAACTATTTTGAATAAGCTGAGGAAGGTATGATTTTAGAACTTCAAGAGCTTATTCTCCGGGTTGTATGAACTTTATTATATGTTATAGTCCAGACTCTCCCACTGAAGTTTCAATTTCACCCATTAAATAACTTTCATTCCATATTTTGTTTATTCTTCCTATGATCACAACATGTACATTTTCATAAAAGGGTATGCATAACAAGAAATTGGTTGTGATGCTGCGACTTGTATGTATCACATGGTGATTTGTTCATGCATCAGTTCAGAATAAGAACCCAAGATAATTTAATAAGACAGTTGTGAAGATCAATAAGACCACCAACTTCATATTTTATATACAGTAATATCACATAAGTGAGTAAACCCCCTCACATTTTGTAAACATTTAAGTATATCTTTTCATGTAACAACACTGAAGAAATGACACTTGGCTACAATGTAAAGTAGCAAGTTCTATATTCAATCTCTAGATCTAACTTAACAAATACTGTAGGTTCTCATGCTAGTGGGGGTGGGGCAGGGACAAGGGGGTTATCCAAGATGACTATAGTATATATCCGGTGCCCCTGAAATTTCAGTGAAGTTGTGCATAGTGAATTTTTCTGGAAGAATTAATAATCTACAGTATTTTCTGCTTTGTCTTGTATACTAAGGGCAGATTCTCCCATTATTCCAGAATTTCTCTTCCAGTGTTATCAGTTCATGACCTGTAATATTAATACCAATTTAGTATTACAAATAGTTGTTCAGTATCTGCTTCCTCTGTACCTGTGGTTGAAGCCTAGACCTGGATCACTGTATTATTAAAAAGCTTGCCTTGGACTGAAATTGAGATACACCTGTCATTTGGTGTGTGTGTGTGTGTGTGTGTAAGAGCGCTGAGTGTAACACTTTCTTGTTAATAATGATGGCTTACTTGATTTCCTGTATGGTTTTTCATCCCCAGTACAGGGTGGTGCTCCTTTGATGTGAAGTGACCCATTCCTGTCCATTACAGTTCACTGATTCCAGGAATGTCAGTATTCAATCTTGACATTTCTACTCTGAAAACATCAAGTCTGCCTTGGTTCATGGTTCTGACATTCCATATACAAGTAGTATATCTTTCTTTGAAGCATCAAATTTTTCTTTTGCATCAGGGCATATTAGCATCTGGACAGTCTTTTAGCTTTAATCCAGCCACATCATAAGTATCAGTATTACTCATAATCACCCGCTTCCATTTCCCAGTAACTTCTTGGTATTCTTTGACTTGCAGGATAATCTCCTAGTATATTACTCACATTGTGCTGAATGTGAATATCCATGTAAGTGTTTGGGCAGAATGG